TGAACCTTCACCAACCCACAACCCGATGTATGGTAACATTCACGATCTTTTCTTTGGAATCTCCCACATTGAGGTCAATGTGTTGCTCAACTGTGGTTGGGGGGGGGGGGGGGAGGGATATTGTTTGTGTTTGTTTGAATTTCTATAATGATTGGTTGAACCATTGATTGCTAGTATTCACGGCCCATAAACGCTTATGGGAGTGTGTGCTAGTAATCCTTTTTATGCTGTGGGGATGAACGGTAAAATTTTAGTGTTTTTGGAACCTTGAATGTTACACCTGTACGTGGGCACCGGGCCGGCCGCAGACTAGCACGGCAAGACACGGTTATAGCACGACACGAGCATGGGCATGAAATATATGGGTAAGCCCGGCACGAGCACAAATAATTTATGGGCTGTGCCAGGCCCAAACTTCATAGGCACGAGCACGAGCACGATATATAAGTGGGCCATGTTGGGCCTAATATTTTTGAGATTTTATTGAGTATAAGAATGAACATGCACAAAAATAAAATTTATTTGATAGAAAATAAATATAGAAAGAATTATAGGTTCAAATATTACAAAATACAAGTAGAAAAATAATTATTTGTTGTTGTTAGAAGTGTCATAAAGAGATATACGCAATTACCACTATAAGTATAAATGGACGAAGAATTAAACAAAGCCAAATCAAACTGCTATACTTTTAATTTTCTTGTCCCCCTTATTTGTTACTTTTCTCAAACAGTCTCGGTTAATACTATCTTTCTCCGTCCAATTTTTCACCTTCTTTTTCATTCTCTCTTTTATTTTCTTCCTTTTCATTAGACACGAATACGTGCACGACATGAGTACGAATAGGCACGGCACAATTCGAACTTTGCTCGGGCCTGGGCCGGGCCAAGCAAAGTTAACAAATGGGCTTTCACGGCACGACATGAAAATTGACGGACCGTGCCAAGCACAACACGAAATAAATGGGCCTAAAGCGTGCCGGCCCAAGCACGGCCCAGCGCCCATGTACAGTTCCACGCAATTGTTTTTCAAATTTGAGGGTTCCAAAACACCTTGTCCTTGCAATTACCTACTCGATGTGCTTTGACTTGAATAGATTGATTGATGTGTGGTGCATCTTAGGTGATAGTTGCAGTGTTTCAGTATCTGTACGTGAGGGATTCTACTACTTTCTTCCTCTTTTCTGAGTTGATAATTGACTCGCTTTGACTATGACAATAAAATCCCACCTAAGGCCCAAGTATAAACCTTAGATGGGTGCAATATAGGACAAGTATGTTTAAATATCGACCCGGGCCGACCCATGTACCGCTACTTCGACTGTTTGAAACATTATCTAGCGGATTAGTTTTTGGTGAAAACAAAGGTCTAAAACTAAATTACTTTGCAAAGGTAAAATGGATTTGACACAAATTGAGAAGGCTTCACCCGGGTGTTGCCCCCCTATCTAACAATTATGACTTGGAGAATCGAACGTCCGTGTGTGGTTAGGGGGTTATAAACCGCAGGGAAGTCTAACAAGTAACCAAGGCTACCCTCTTAGTCTCTAGGTTGAGGAAGTGGGATATGATCCAAGCCGCTAATGCTACCCTCTCAACCTATCGACTAAGGAATGGTTAGACTTCACCCTCCAATTGGAGTTCGGATGGCCACCCACAACCAAACCCTAAGTGCTAATACGAAATAGGAGGTTTGTCCTTAATTAACATAGAATAGGAGGCATGAAATGCCCAATGAAACCAATCTCTAATAAAGCCTCTTAGGTTAAGGAGGGTTCTCTCTAAACTAATCTAGGAGGCTTTGAATGCCCAAGGAAACCCAGCTCAAATTGAGCCTCTTTGGATAAAGGAGGTTTCCTCTCTAAACTAGCTGATGCAATACCCATGAACACCCATCTCTAATTGAGACTCTTAACCTAAGGAGGTGACCTCTCTATGCTAGGTCAACAAAGCACACACCATTATCATGAAAAATACATCCACATTAATATTAAACACAACCACACACAAATCGTTCAATTCTTACAAACATTCACATAGTGTAGCTAGGGTTTGCAAACACCCAAGTGAAAGAAAGTACTACTCCATGCTAGGAGAAGGGAAACCACAAGAGAGGGAAAGGAAAACTATCAATAAAATGAAAGCCTTGCTCCTTACGTTGAAGAGATCCTTCTTTGGGGGAAGAATTTCCAAATCCTTGCTTGGAGATAAAACCCTAGATTCTTCTCTTCTTTAGTTCGTCACTTTCTTACCCTAAAATATGAAGAAGAAGAAGTTTCTCACACTAGGTCTCTCTCTCTCTCTTTCCTTTTAGCTAGCTATTTAATATGAGATCGAGCCCAATTCACGGCTATGAACATTAAAACGCTCTGCGAACTCGGTGTCTGAACCAAAAAGCACCGCTTCACATCCTGGGGGTCACGGTTTGTGGCTTATGTTCAAGGTCTTAGCAATTGTAACACCCTACCCTATACGTTTTGCCTAATCATATTGTCCATACAATTGCCGCGGATTTAATCTCGGGTGTTACGTTAATTATCAAAATTTACCCAAATAAAATTTCGACATGAATTACTCGCGTAATGGGCTAACAGTTCTTGCAACTTATCCTCCAAAATAATTCATCACAAACATATATACTCACAACCATATGCATTGGCTTTTCTTAGCCATAGTCACACTTTTCATACTCCACAACTGCATACCATACTTATACATACCATAATCGTCACAACTTACACAACATATACACATATCATCAACTTTCCAAACTTGTGGATATCGCACACTACATCAGAAGCTAGTATGCACATGAAAAACGTTCTCAAAACATTTTTTACGAAAAGGTGTGGATCACTGGCCAAAATCCCGAGTAGTAGTCGAAGCACAGAATAGTTGAAGACCATGCCTCATCTTGTCTTCAACTCTTGCTCAGCTCCCACCTATACACCTATCTACTGCTGATGATGATGACGATATGCTTACACATGGCATAAGTAGAGAAAATGGATAAACAGGGTCAACTCATAGCTGAGTGAGATAATCATAGCATCGTGAGTTCATAACATAGCATACCCCTACCATACATCTAGAAAACAAGCCAAAGCACTAGGATCAGACCTCAACCACCTTGACTTATGCATATGCATCTTATCATGTTTTAATCATAGGTGCCTGCTACTCCCATGCTAATTACTCTCCCGGGAATACGGACCAAACATCTCGTGGATGTGGTCATATCGAACCCACCACTGCCGGTGTAGTCATATCGGACCTGACACCACTCTGGGTGTGGTCATATCGGACTCAACACCACTCTGGGTGTCGTCATATCGGACTCAACACCACTCTGGTTTGTCAATAATATCATACAACAATCCATGGTTGATCATATAGCATAAAATTCCATACACCCCTAATCATGCCATTCTAATTCACCTAGGTCAATTGTAAGCATCAATATAATTATCGTGATACGACAAACTCGGTATGCCGTGCTATTCCCTCACCAGTTCTGGTCGTTCAAACACCGGTTCTAGCCTCCCGTACTAAAACGTCAATTTCACGAACGAACCCCGAATTAAAATCCGAGACCGTCCTAATATCTCCTGCAGTATCCCCGTCAATATTAGCTCTAGGCTCCGGGTCAAATTCTTGATAAAAACACATCAAACTCTGGCCGGAGCTAAATTCAGCGAGCCCGGCTCCGATCTAAATAATAGCTGAAATTCATGGATTAGAACTAGAGGATTGATTACCTCGCTGCAGGAAGCTTGTATATGAAATTTGGGCTCAATCCGGCTTCCGGATACTCCGAAACCCTAATTTGGCTTATCGGGAATTGAAGAAATTCCTGAACCAAAAACTCGTTTTAAAGCGCTAAATCGATAAATCACGATGTATAGATGGATTAGGCGTTACTTACAGGATTTTTGGATCACTAAAGTTGAAGAATCGAGCTGTGGAAATTTTTCCAGGAGCTCCGTGCGCGGCTCTGCGTCTCTGTTTCTCTCCTCGGGAAATGAAAGAATAAAAAATGGAGGGGAAAGGAAGAATTATATAGGTGGCCTGTGACCGCCTACTAATTATATATATATAATTAATACAAATACTTATCCGATCAATTGATAATCCGATTTTTTGCCGAAATACTATCAAAACGCTCAATTTTAAATCGCGAACTTTCTAGCAATCGAAATATGAGTTTTGCCGGAACGGGATGTTATAGCGACTGTGAATAGCTTTGCCGTCAGTAACCTCAAAACCCTCTCTGGACGCTCCTTGGTTCGCGGATTATGGCTCCGGTTCAGGGTCCTATAAGACCGTGAACTCCAATGGTAGATCGTGTACTCCGGCTGTCTCCTCCTCTTTGCCCCGTCTTTGCTCCTTTCCTTCCAACTTTCAACTCCGGGGTTGGTTTCACCTTGGGATCCGAAACAAACTGAAACACAAGAAACCTCCCGTAAAACCACCCCTTTAGGAGTTCAATTGCAACAAACATCAAAGCGCAACGGGGTAGAAAGTGTACAATTAGGCCCGATCACTCCCCCACACTTAGATGTTCGCTTGTCCCCAAGCAAACCATTTCACACAAGGTAATCTCTCAGCCTAACAAAAATGCTTTGGGGACAAATCAAAGGGCATAAAGTGGCAAATCTCAATGGCTATTGGCATTTAACACATGGACCGTTGCAAGCAATACCGACATCCACCACAAATAAAATTCGAGGTCAACAAAAACGGGCAAATGAAGAGTTCTTACATTGTTCATGAATCAATGCAAGTCTCAACAAGATCACTTATCAACCACAACTAACCATGCATAACATTCAAGTCCAAGGAATAAACGAATGGGCAATAAAGGTCCTCACCTGGGTATGATATGTCATGCAAAGCAAGAATGAATCACTCACTCTCTTGACCAGTGGGGTCAGACCATGGACCAGGAAACCGGATCGCACCGGCCGGTTCGACCGGAAAAACCAGAAACCGGACCAGAAACGAAATGCTAGCCATTTAGTGGTTGAATTATTGTACCGCACGGTTTTTTTGGTTTAACCGGCCCGAAAGGAAATATCGGCTGGTTTTGTTCGCCGTATTGTGCAACATAATTATTAAAAAAAAAGCTCCAAACTCTGAAAGCCAAACCCCAATCCCTAATAGACCACTCCACTTCTCTTCTCCAGATTCACCCCGCCGCTCCTCTTCTCTTCTCTAGCTTGACTGCTCAAGAACGCCGTTGTCCTTCGCCTTCTCCAGCACAGCCTTGCCTCTGGGGACCGGCGAGAAGGACAAGCTCGAGAACGCCGTCGAGTCTCCCTCTTCTCTTCTCTTCGACTGCGAACCGCCCTTCATCTTCCCCAACTCATCCCTGTCTCTGACGACCGGCAAAAAGGACGAGCTTGAGAACGCCGCCGAGTCTCCAACGCTCTTGTTGGCGGCGGCGGTTGCCATCTCAAATAAATTGCAGTCCCCTCTCCGCTGACCGCCATTATTCCCTCCGATCTCCTTCACGTCGCCAAAACTCTACCCTCCCTCTCTGCCTTCTTAGTTTTTTGTTCGTAAGGAAAATATTGTTTCAAGAGAGAAGCAGATTGAAATTTGTAAAATGGAGAGAGAGAGTGGAGAGAGAGTACTGAAAATGGAAATTGGAATGTGAATAGACAATAGAGTAGACAAAGAGTTTTCTAGATGGATTGGAAAATTATTGCTTGATACCTAAAATTATTCTATGTGTTTAGTCCCTGTAATATTAAGTTATTCCATTATATACCTATAATTTTATGTTAATATTTAATTATTTTCTATTTGGTATTTTTTGATATTATTCCGGTTTTACTCCGGAACGGTATCATGTTTTCGCCGGTACGGTTTTTTTACAAAAAAAGTATTTTACTATTACAAAAACGGTATTTACAGATATGAAACGATTGAACCACGGTCGTACCACAAAATATCATACCAGATATGAATCCGGTATGACGTCCGGTACGGTTTCCTGAACCATGGTCAGGACCTTTTTGGTGCAAAAAATGTGCACAATTATCAACACTCAGTCCTATCGTCTCTTCACCACGGCGGCAACCTCTAAATATTAGAGTTCACGGGACTGTTGTCATCACTAGCTTGTCCACAGGTCTTAGACACGGGTTCATATGATTGACAATTGTCTTGGACATGGGAAAAATGCTTTTTAGGTGGTGGCAAACACATCAGAGGTCCTACATCTTCACCCTAAACCCGAAGTTCTATGGTTTCGACTATGAACCTTCCCTGCAAGAAATAGCCACTAGCATCAGCCAAAAACCTTTCTTCTCCCTTCCAAACTATCATTTATCATAAACTTCCTTTAAGCGCTCTTCCTTGGTCTACTCTTGCTATCACATTTCGATTTGGTAGTGAAAGAGTTCTAAAACAATGTGGGGGGTTTCAATGGCTTGCGTGCCAAGAAACCCCACTTAGAGCATACTCTTTGAATCTTTTGTGGTACTCTCTACTTTATTTACTCCGTTTTATTACCTCTTTTTCGATTCCTTTTTCGTTCTACTTTCCTTTTCTCTTTTCTTTTTCTTTTTGAGGGGGGTAATAGAGAGTTAAAAACTTGCAACTTTACCTTTAACAACCAATGCTCTCTTTTAAGAACTCACTCTGACACTACACTTTTCTCTTTCATTCCTAGCAAGAACCACACACAATCCTCATATGTAGAACCTCAATGGAACTCAAAAGAGAGAGCTCCGGGACACAAGGACGAATCATGTTTAGACTCGAAGAAAGGACCGGGGGGGGGGGGGGGGGGGGGTCATTCTATCAAACACCATTAATCTCACAAGCAAAAAGCTCCTACAAAAGAACGAGCCCCAAAGTCAAAACGCTCAAAGGGGTTTCCAATGGGATAAAGCATTTCGGGAAAATCAACGTTTGGGCTTGGACTAATCCTATGCCTCCATCATACTCACTAGGGACAACTGTGATGTTACCCGCCATGGTAAGAGGGATATAAGAACACAAGAATAAAACGATCGGCTCAAAACTCACATGGCTACCTATTCACCCAATCATTCATTCAAATTTCACAGAACACAATGTATGGCAATTGTAATCAACAAGTAATTCAGTCAAGACATCCATTCATTTTTGCACGCATGAGAACTAAACTTTTGCACTATCCTAATGCACCTCTCAGCCATCATCATAGGCATACTCGATCACATGAAACAATTCAAGGTCAATGCCAATAAACACGAGATTCTCCTACAAACCAGCCACTTTGATCAAGCAAACATTGCTTGGAGCCCTCAAAATTTCAAATTTGGGCATACACCAAGGCTCGAAGCATCAAACACAATCCCACCAGCATAACAATAAACTACCCTCTGATAGAGAAGAATCAGATTGGGGATTGAGAAGAAGAATTAGGGATTGGGAAAGAATTAGGGATTTGAGATAGAATTAGGGAAGAACAGAGAAGAGAGATTTAGGGATTTTGATATTATTATTGTTTAACCTCAAATGAATGTGCAGAACACTATTTATGTGTTTCAGAAAACTAACACAAAATAACAAAAATGCCATCACCTCAGCCCAATCGGCCAAACCCAACCCGACCCCTACCCGCTGCGCGGGTCTCTATCATCCCCTTGCCCATCAGAAACGACCTTGTCCTCAAGGTCGAATGTCGGGAAATGCTGTCGTAATGTGGCCGTCTCTTCCCATGTAGCATCCTCACACGCCATGTGCTTCCACAGAACCAAACTCACATCAATCATGTGCCCTCCCTTCCGAACCCATCTGGTATCCAATACCTGCACAGGGGTCAGTACAAGGTCCCCATCGGCAGAAACCGGCGGAGCAGTCGTCTCAACCCGGTCCGCGGCTCCCCTGTAACGCTTCAACAGTGATACATGAAAGGTAGGGTGAATACGAGCATCCGCTGGCAACTGCAAACGATATGCTACCAGATTAATCTTCTGCAGCACCTCATAGGGACCAAAGTAACGAGCGGCCAGCTTCTGGTAAGGCCGGCAGAAAACGGATGCCTGCCTGTATGGGTGAAGGCGAAGCAGTACCCAGTCCCCCACCTCGAACTCCTCCTCACGTCTGCATGCATCCTCCATTTGCTTCATCTTATTATTGGAAGCCACCAGATGGGCCTTGAGCTGCTCCAAGGCCTCATTCCGAGTCTCGAGACAACGGTCCACCGCGTCCACGGGGCTTGCGCCCTGTTGATAGCTAACCAATGAAGGTGGTGGTCTCCCGTATAGTGCCTCAAACGGTGTCGTCTAGATCGCCCTATGATACGTAGAGTTATACCATAGCTCGACCCATGGCAATAGGGCCAACCACCGCCGTGGCTGCTGATGGGCAAAACAGCGCAGATACTGCTCCAAGTATCGGCTGACCACCTCCGTCTGGCCATCCGTTTGTGGATGGTAGGCAGAACTCATCCGCAATGTCATCCGAGACATAGCGAATACCTCCTGCCAAAAACGGCTTAAGAAGACCGAATCCCGATCACGGACAATCGATCTTGGGAAACCGTAATGGCGTACGACCCCCATCACAAACTGCTCTGCGACTGACCGAGCAGTATACGGATGCGCCATGGCCATGAAATGAGCATACTTCGTCAGTCGGTCCACAACTACGAACAAGACCGTCTTACCGCCGGATGGCGGTAGGCCGACAATAAAGTCCATGTTGATGTCCTCCCACACCCGCTTGGGTACCGGCAATGGCTACAATAGACCGGCCGGCCGCAGATGAGACGCCTTGACCCGCTGACAAGTGTCGCATGATGCGCATGGTTGTTCACATCCTGGACCATCTGGGGCCAATAAAACTGTGCCCGGATCCGCCGCAGTGTCCTCTCTACCCCAGAATGCCCTCCAAATGGAGAGTCGTGGTACTCCTGCAGCATTGTCGTAACCAGGGAAGAACCCCGCGGGAGGACGAGGCACCCCCGAAAGAACACCAATCCCTGGCGGAACGAGTAATCTCCCAAAGCTTCCGTGACTGCTGTATCCCGACAAGCCCACAAATAGGCATCTGTCTCCGTCAGGGCTTGGAGCGCGTCCCAAAACTAAGGCACCGGTCTCATTACTGCTGCTAGTAACTCGCCCCCAGGCCGCCTCGAAAAACCCTCTGCCAGGACGTTGGAGGGGCCCGGCCGGTAATGGATCTCATAATCATAGCCCAGGAGCTTCGCGACCCACTTGTGCTGATCAGGAGTGGAAACGCGCTGCTCCAACAGGTTCCTCAGGCTTTGATGGTCGGTGTAAATGTGGAACTTCTGGCCCATGAGGTACGGTCGCCACATCTGTACTGCAGTAATGATAGCCTGCATCTCCTTCTGGTACGTAGACCAAGCCTCCTTGAAGGGAGCCAAGGTCTTACTCATGAAGGCCACTGGATGACGGTCCTGAGATAGCACCGCCCCAATCCGCAGGCCAAAAGCATCCGCCTCGATCACAAAGGTCCGGGAGAAATCCGGCATAGCTAGAGTCGTAGTAGAGGTCATGGCCTGCTTCAGTCGCTGAAATGCAGTATCCGCCTCCGAGGTCCATGTAAACCCGCCCTTCTTCAGCAAATTAGTCAAGGGCCAGGCGATCATGCTGTACCCCTGCACAAACTTCCGGTAGTACCCTGTTAGGCCCAGGAAGTCTCTCAGCTCCGTGACACTGGTTGGGGTAGGCCACTCGTCCATCGCCTGTATCTTCGACTGGTCCACCTGCACTCCCTGTGGTGTGATGAGGTGACCCAGGTACTCAAGCCTTGAGGTAGTACTGGTGGTGCTGTAAAACCTCAAAGACTGTCTGTAAATGCTGCAAATGTGCCTCCCATGATGGACTGTAAACCAGAATGTCATCAAAAAATAAAAGAACATACCGGCGCAGTAGTGGCCTGAAAATGTCGTTCATTGCCGCCTGAAACGTCGAAGGAGCATTGCACAAGCGGAAGGGCATGAACAAGTACTCGTAGTGGCCACTATGACTCCGGAAAGCGGTCTTGTGTGCATCCTCCTCTTGCATCCGGATCTGGTGGTACCCGGCTCACAGATCGATCTTAGTGAAGTAGGTCGAGCCATGGATCTCGTCGAGCATATCATCCACTGTGGGGATCGGAAACTGATCCTTCACCGTCGCAACATTAAGTGTCCTGTAGCCCGTGCAGAATCGCTAAGTCCCATCCTTTTTCTTGACTAGAAGTACCGGCGAGGAAAAAGGACTAGTGCTAGGGCGGATTAGCCCGGTCTCGAGCATCTCCTCCACAGCCTCCACTCCTTCCTTGAGCTGGATCCGGTGATCAATCTGTCTGTGGGTCGGCAAGGTGGTGGGCGTCTGAAAGAGCTCTGGGAACTCATCCAACACCCACTGCAGATCAGGGGCCACCTCCTTCCCTTCGGTTGCCACCGCGGGCCAACTGTGGACAACCAGCTCGGCCTCACAGGCTCCACTCCTTATCTCGCCACTTCAACGGCATGGTTAAATGTCGCCAATCAGTCATCATCGATCCCAATTCCTGCAACCATGGAACACCCAAAATTATATCAAACCCGCGGATGGGCAGGACATACATATCCGCGGTGACGGGTAGCCCTTGAATCTCGAAAGAGAGCCTCCGATACACTGCTTGGCACCGCATAGGTGCACCATTGGCAACCCTGATCACGACGAACTCCACCATGCTTGGCTTCTGGGGAAGTTTCTTAGCCAGTTCCTCGCTGATGAAGTTGAGGGTCGC